AGTCCACCCATCTTAAAGTTGCTGAGGTTGTGGAACCCTGCTTTAAGTGATTTCCTAGATTCCTCTCACTTAGTGGAAATCCAGACTAAGCGATGAATTACTGGCATGGTGAAAGAGGGTCTTATTGAATCAGCATTTCACTTTCTTGGATATTTTTGTAGAGTTTAGCAATTCCATTGTACAGCGGTGTATTGAGATAGCAGATGTTCTCATTTTTTGAATGGCATCTTTACGGCATGCAATAATTTCCATTAAGATTTACCTTCCAGAGAGTTTCATGTATTGGGGGTATTTTTTCTCCAGCCGACCGAACCAGATAGACCTTTGTTTACCACATTCAGCTGGGCTTTGTAATATAAAGAGAAGTGATTCATACCATAGCCCAGTCTTGCCCAACCTCAAGTTCTCCAAAAATGTTGGACTTCAACTCTTACTATCCCCAGGAGCATCCTGGTGTGAAAAAAGTCAAGATGCAGCTTACAAATGCTTATGCTTTTTAATAAAATGTGTTCGCCGGACACTGCCCGACCCAACTCCTTCTGAGTTTTTGCACCATAGACTAACACGGCCTTCCTCCTGCAATGTCTATCGCTCAGTGCCTTGGGTTAATCAAAATGCTGTTATCAGGAGGTGTATGAAAGACATACGGGATAAGCCGGGGGAAAGGATACCCCAGGGCATGTATTCAGGGAAGATAAGTATTTGTCAAACATATAGAAGTGAGCTTGCTGTCTTCAGACAAACTTGAAAATCAACTTCCCTGCTTGTTTTGCTAAGCCTGTCATGTCTCCTTCAAAATTCTCCCTTTCTCCTCTTAGAAGATGGGCAATCTTTTTATCCTTGCCTTAAAAGCTTTTCGTATCCGGCGCTTCTTCCTGCTTAGCCTCCCACGTCTGTCTGTCTACTGCACCCCATTAGTTTAGTGATGCTTAACGGACATTGGAAACGGCTAGGATGAGCGCATAAGAGGGGCAGTTGCCTTTTCTTCCCATCCACCCCCCACAACGTCAAAGGAAAAGGACCATCAGGTTTGGATGGCTCCTGATTTATGTATTAAAGCCTGAGCTGGCACTCAGATGAGTTGGGTCAAGAAATCTCTACTTTTGTTTGAAAAGGCTGTTCGGTAAGCCAATCCCTAGTATTGGAGCCAACAGGCAATTCTGCTGAACTGATGTTCTTTTGCCAAGAAATCCTAGTTCTCCAAGGGCAAACAAGAAATAAAAAGGAATTGCTGGTGGCCAACCATTCTGGGTGGGCTGTAGGTTTGATCTTTTCCTTCCTAATCCCCTGAAGTGGTCATCCTTGGTTTGCTCACTAGGACAATTCATGGCCGTACTCTGTAGCAGTGTTTCTCAACCTTGGCAAGTTGAAGTCCACATATCTTAAAGTTGCCATGGTTGAGAAACACTGGTCTATAGGGAAAAAGCTGTGTCCCGCTTTTCTTATAAAATGAAATGGTGAATGAAAAGAATGGTTTAAAAGAGTAAGCATCAGGCTAACCCAAGAAGATCAGCCAACTGGAGGGTAAGCGAGATCATTTGATCCCTTCAGCAGAAATTCCGTACTGTAGCCAGCTCTACTCTACGATGTCAGAAGTGCTGGCCATATTAGAATGAAACCGCTGCAGAATTGGGAGCCTTCGTGCGGGAGCATCCACAGAGGGGGCTCTAAAAAAAGTCAAGATGGCGGCTACAACTTGGTACCCCCTTTTTACATGGGTTGTGTAATAGCTTCCAGTGGAATGGTGTTTTAGCTCCAGCATAATTCTTCCATAACCAGGTTCACTGTTCAAGAACAGAATATTCAAACTTTTTGCATCGGCCAGAGTATGCCTGAATTTAGTTTTGCTGTTAAGGACTGTGTTTCAAGTTGCTGATGGGCTGGTGTGTTTTACCCACTTTGGCTTAAACCAACTTAAATGGTGTCCGAGGAACAGTTGCCCCGTCTCAAACCCTGTGGCAAGTCGCCAAGGTAAACCTGAATGCTTTTCCCCCTTAGGTTCATGTTCTTCTGGCTTACGTTTCCCTAAAGTGAATCAGCCATTCATAGATATCTTTTCTGCTTGCAGGAAACTTGGAGGATTGCATAAATGGCTCTTACGAAATGTTAATGAGACGCAAACCGTTCACTGGGTTTTTGTAAAGCATATTATTTTTCCTCACAATGAGAGAAGTACCATCCTGTATTGGAGAGTAAATCCAGTTTTGTAATCTACGGAAGTTTATGAAATACTGTAATGTATTCGTTAGTCTTTAAAATGCTTGCTGTTTGCATATTTAAAATGTTTTAAATCTCTCCTGTAGTCCCTGCTGCAGCTTATAAAATCTTCAAAGATTTTGTCACGTGATGACTAAAACTGAAGTAGGATTGGGAATAGCCAACAGGGTTTGGCAGGATAGAATTGCCTTAAAATTAACCAAGGTTTTAAAGAAGCCCACTAATTTCTACTCCCTCATTAATATGAAAAAAAAGAAGGTAAAACGGTAAATTAAACAAAATACTCAGCACAGAGTGTGCTTTATGCATACTGTAACTGATATTTATGTACATTATTTGATATGTTCCTTTTCCCCTTAGGGCAAAGGAGTATGAAAACGTAATGGAATCAAAAAACGTCTCCTGTGAGTCTCCATACAAATCAAAGTAAGTACTTCATCCTGATGGAAGCCTTGCATGTCAGATTTGCGCCCAGAGCATCAGAGGAGAGTTCCCTTGTTTGTAGGACAGCCTGCCCCATTCTGGCTTTTGAGGTCTGCAACTCCCAGAATTGTAGAAATTAACAATTTCAGTGAATCTACAGGATTGTGAGAGGCCCCATTTAGAAGCTTATAGTTGGGAGAACAGATAAATAAGCAAGTGTCTGTGGAAGGGAGAGAAATGGAGCTGGGAAATGCAGTTATAATTATTTCACTAACATGTATTTAGGCTTAATGATTAGAGGCGAGGTGGGGGACCCATGGGCCTCCAGAAGATGTTGGGCTCCCAAATCCCATCAGCCTTGGCTAGTACAGCTGTTACAAATTGTAAGATTCAGACAACATCTGGAGGACCAGTGGTTTCCCACCCCCCACGATAAATATGCACTGTTTTGAAGACTGTAAAAAGTGATTGTGGTGAGGATCTGCACATGCCCAGAGTATTATCATGGGTGGGAAGTGGGACTTAAAATTCTCTCCTGTCTCTTGCTGCTCCCCCCGCTTGCTTATCTGCTGTTTTGTTATTTTTCTTGGACGGACTGGAAAATAGTATTTGTTCATGAAGCCAGCTTGATTGGATATGGAAAGAAATGAAGGAGTAAAATCTTTTTTTCCAATGTCCTGAAGCTAAGCTCGAAGACATTGCTGGAGTACAGTTTTAAGAGCATTGCAGAGTTTCCTTCCACCAGCAGGCCTATCCTGGATCAGAACTTCAGCTGGCATAAACCTCTCTGTCTCGACCAGATTCACTGGAATGTGGCCAACATTCAGGAACTCGCCTCTCTTCCGTGCTATCTTCATTAATCTCTTAATGGGAAGGTGCACAATGTGGAGGAGAAATGGAATCACAGTCTCTATGGAGCACTGATCCTCCCCTTAGTCTGTTCATTCATAAGCTTATACCTTTGGGTTGAGAAGTTTTTCCTGGACCACAAGTCTCCCAGGAAGCTTATTTCAGGGAATATGGTATATGACGCTCTTGGCTTTCAGCCCATCGCATCCAGTGAAGTCCATGATTAGGTTCACACATCACGGAAAACCTTCAGTTTGTTGAATGTTGCCATTTGCTGGGTGCACATTTCTTGCTAAGCTGTTCACTATGGTTTATAAATCATGGGGATTAAGCACAGTGATGCAAAAAGTGCAGCCTATCACTCCCTTGGAGTGGGTATGGTAAAAAAGAAATGTATTGGGGGATCTTCAGGAACATAATAGATTCTCTAGGGCTTATAAGGCTTCCAATTTCCCCTCCCACTTTTAATAACATTTGTTAGTCTGAAAAGGTTCTACCAGGTTCCTTCTGATCTTGTATTTTTGACTTCTTGGTTTAAGCTATAGCCCTGAAGGTATTCCCTGAATGTCCCTAATGAAACCACCAACCAGATCTGACCCTGTTTAGCTTCTTCTGAGCCCAGAGACGTTCAGCCAGATCCTGTCACTTGCTGAGATATTAGAAGTGGGACCTACAAAAAACAGAGAGGGAGAGGGAGGGAGGGAGGGATTTATCAAATTAGAATCCAGAAGAATACATTCAATATGTAGGATATTCCATCATTTCCCCAAGGTTTGGGTTTGTTGTTTGTTTTTGATCCTACTAGCATTCTGTTCATTACCTTCCTTTAAATTTCTGTCCAGAATTCCCTCTTTCATATTTAAAGCTCCCTCTTGTTTTTCAGTGGGCCTGTTTTGGCTGCTGTCCTGGGTACACTCGCTATCTGAGTTTCTTGTTAAAAGAGAAGATGGTTTCCTATTTTAGTTTTTAGAGCGGAAAAGGTCTAGGATTCGCTGCGGGCCTTTGGATGATTTAAAAAACAGAAAAACTTGCAGCCCATTATTTGGGGAGAGATGTAATAAGATGTAATACGAGAACTGTTGCCAGTAGGATAAGAAGCTAAATTGCCTTTATGGAACAAAACAAAAAAGAAAATAAACTTTGAATTTTTAACCTAACCCTTACCATATTCAGTGTACACAATGATTGTAGTGCTGATTAAAGGCAATGTTTCAACCAATTGTAAATGTAAATACTCTTACACAGCTTGTTGTTGCCACTATAAATATTGACAAATCTAAAGATGGTGGGCGTAATAAAGAGAGAGGCTTGCGTACGCAGAAGTAATGAGCTGGTATAAAACTGCCCCTCTGAGATGTCAGAAGTATTTTATGTGGTGTGTTTTTGCCCATCTTACTAGCATGGATGCTTAAGAAAAATGGAACTAAATCTTACAGTCTCCTTCAGTTGGTGCCCCCCTCCGAACAGGAATATGTGAACAAGCATTGATAGAGCAACAGTTGATGCTGCGTTCACTGACAGTTGCTCAGATCCAACTGTAATTCCTAGAGCAATGTTTCTCAACCGTGGCAAGTTTAAGATGGGCAGACTCCAATTCCAATGTCACTGAGTCCACCACTTTTATTTTCTTCTAAGAGTTTTTTCAGTAAACTCTGAGAAGGAGTTGACTCCTTCCAGGTAAACTAGAGCAGTGTTTCTCAACCTTGGCAGCTTGAAGATGTGTGGACTTCAACTCCCAGAAATCCCCCCCCCCCACGGGCGGGTGGGGGGTTTTTGGGGGGGGGTGGCAAAAACCTTTAATTTGCCAAAAGG